TTCGAGGACGAACGTTTGTTTAAGAGGTGGAGAATGTAATGACCCAATCGATCATTTTGACTTTTAGAACCTCGTTCCCCTAAATAAAATCCCTTGTATGTACTTTTACTAATTTATGACTTGCGTGGATGGTTGGTTCGGGATTTGGGAGTGTTCGGGTTGAAATAGGAACACTTAGTTTCTTAAGTTGGCCTTAGAATGCTAAGTTTGATTTCGGTCAACATTTTGAGAAAATGACCCCGAAATCGAAATTTGACAGTTCCAATAGCTCCTATGGTATTTTTGGACTTAGGAGCGTAATCGGAATTTTATTTGGAAGTCCGTAGTTAAATTAGGTTTGAAATAGCTAAAACAGGAATTTAAGTTTGGAAGTTTGATCGGGGAGTTGACGTTTTTATATCGGGGTCGGAATTCAGTTCCAAAAAATTTCATAGCTCCGTTATGTCATTTATGACTTGTGTGTAAAATTTGAGGTCAATCAGACTTGATTTGATAGATTTCGGTACCGAATGTAGAAGTTGGAAATCTTTAAGTTTCATTAAGTTTTAATTGGAGGATGATTTGTGGTTTTAGCATTGGTTGGTGTGATTTGAGGGTTCGACTAAGTTCGTATGATATTTTGGGACTTGTTGGTATATTTGGTCGAGGTCCTGAGGGGCTCGGGTGAGTTTCGGACGTCTAACAGATCACTTTTGACCTTTGGGAGACTGCTGATAGCTGCTAGTATTTTTCTTATGATTTCGTTATACGCGATCGCGTAAGTATGTCTGCGATCGCGTAGAGTAATTTGGGTAGAGGCGAATTTGTTCTATGCGATCGCGTGAATGGGGTTGCGATCGCGTAGGCTTAATTTGGGCAGCCGGAAATTTATTCTATGCGATCGCGTGGGCACGTCTGTGATCGCGTAGGTTGGTCCAGTCTGTGCATCGCGATCTCGTGGCGTTGTTTGCGATCGCGTAGGGAAAACTGGAGAGGAAGCTGGGCCATGCATTTACTCTATACGATCGCGTGAAGAGCGATGTGATTGCGTAAGGTTGGAACCTTGTGCATCGCGATCGCGTCTCATTGTTTGCGATCGCGTAGGGTCATTTTCTGGGCAGTAAAAATTTGTGCTATGCGATCGCGTGAGGATGTTCGCGATCGCCTAGAAGAAATCACTGGGCAGGGAGTTTAAGTTCTGAAAATGGGATATTTTTATCGATTTGGAGCTCGGATCAAGGCAATTTTTGGGAGATTTTCAGAGAAAATAACGGGGTAAGTGTTCTTAACTCAATATTGGTTAAATTACCCGAATCCATCACTGTTTTTATCATTTAATTGGTGAATTAAGTTGGAAAAGTTTGAAAACCCTCTTGGATAGATTTGAGGATTTGAGGGCTGAATTGTTATCGGAATTTAGTAATTTTGGTATGGGTAGACTCGTGGTTGAGTGGGCGTTCATATTTCGTAACTTTCATCGGATTCCGAGACGTGGGCCCCACAGACGATGTTTGAGTTAATTTTGGATTGTTATTGAAAAATGTAGTATTTTCTTATGGAATTGATTCCTATAATTTTTAGTGATTATATCGAATTATTTTGACTAGATTCGAGCTAGACAGAGTTGGATAATCGTGGAAAAGGGCTTCTAGTGGATTAAATTGGAGCAAGTTGAGGTAAGTCACTTGTCTAATCTTGTGAGGGGGAAATTACCCCATAGGTAATTAAATTAATAATTATTGCTAATTGTGGGGACAACGTACGCACGAGGTGACGAGAGTACGTGTGTAGCAACTATTAATGCTAAAGTACGGGTAGTTTAGGACTCAAAGCATGAATTACTTGTGTAAATTGTATGTGTTATATAATTAAATTATTTGGTATATATTGTGAATTGTTAGGGAAAAATATTAAAAGATGAAAATCTCATATGTTTAATTTTCTGTTTAAATTAATTAATTATTAAAATAAATTATTCATCCTCTCGAATTGATCTTATAATAAATATACTCTCCTTCCGGAGGTACATAAGAAAATGTCCTCCTTTCTTGTGGAGCGGACCGAACGCCTCGGCATTATAGATGCATCTATGGATTGCGCTACACGTCCCTCATCAGTGTACACGACACTCTGGATCGGGTCGTACGACCTCAGCAGAAATCGTGCCTAATAAAATTTATAATTACATGATACCTTGGTATTTTAATTGTAGCTTGTGAATCTAGTTAATAGATTGAAAATTGTTGTATTTGAAGGAATTAAATGGTTTCTGTTGTTTAAATAAATTATTGTTAATTATGTGAATCATATTGATTTAGATATTCTAGTTTTATTTCAATTATTATTATTGACCCATAGTGAGTGTCAGAGTTGGTCATCTCGTCTCTACCACTTCGAGATTAGGCTTGATACTTACTGGGTACTCATTGTTTACGTACTCATGCTACACCTGCTGTACTTTTTTGTGCAAGATCTGAGACAGGCACTAGTGGAGGATCTATCATCGCACATCCACGTTATCCAGAGGCGTAGTGGTGAGCAGACTTTTCTAAGCCGTTCTGCAGCTACTAGTGCATCTTCTTATATTTGCATTCTGTTTATTTTATTTCAGACAGTGTTTGAGATTTTTATATAATCTACTAGATGCTCATACACTTGTGACATCATGTCTTGGCACACACATTGGTAGAATTAGGAGTTGATTATTTTTTTTCTTGGATTTAAATTAATTGGTATCTTTTCTATTTTCTTTAATATTGCTAGTAAAATAATAAAATTACTTAGAAAATTATTCTGAAAATAATTGATGTATGTTTAAATTACTAGTTGGCTTGACTAGCTGTAGTGTTGGGCGTTATCACAGACCTATATGTGAAATTGGGTCGTGACGGATGAAATGCTCATTCCCACAAATTAAAACTGTATACTGATTTGCAGTTTCACATCTCCCGACTTCTCCCTCATGAAAAAGTGGCTCTGTTTCTTCAAAACTCTGCCACCATTGACTGTTTCACGAAAGATCTATAGGTTTGTCTTTCTTCTCTTTTTATTTAAACTCGTAAATCTTCTATGTTTTTCTGTTGATGTCATGTCTTTACCTGTCTTTTTTCTTTGACAAACAAAGTCATGCCTTCACCAATATGAGGCTCTTCAAGCCAAAACATGGGCGAGACACAGAGCCAAGCAAGAAGAGATCCGTGGCAAACAGAAAAAGAAACTATGCAGTCAAGAATCAAAAGATTTTAAAATAGGGTTGGTTAAAGCAAAAGCATTGAGAAATGGTGAATGTATTAAGTGTTAGTTGAAGTTTCTTGATGTTAGTTGAGGATTTGAGACTGAAATCTTTGTAAAATACAGTGTAAATGTCATATTTTTTACTCCTCTACTCATGTTTGTGTATATATTTTTTATCCTCATCTTTGTATTCCCATAATCCTGAATATTGTAAATAATCCTCTATTAGAAATAAAGATTCTGCATTTTTTAACAATTTGTTCGATAAACATAAAAATTTGCAAAAATAATGTATTATATTCAATTATAGAATATTCATTATTACTTATATAAATTCTAAATATTAAAATAATCCCTTTATCTAAAAAATGGTAAATAGTACGAAACATATATAATCATTGCCAAATACCTTTCAGTCGCAAATCGTTACAGTTCTCTATACAAACAAATTTGTCTTTAATTCTATACATTTAGGGACGAAAACGTTTTCTTAAAATTTGCATATCTTCAGTTACAAAATCACATTTTTCAAGTACAAATTAGATACCACTTTAGAGACAATTAGAATTGTCACTAATCAAGATAAAAATTAGTGACAAATTTGTTTTGTCGGTATTAAGAATTTATTTAGTGACAAAAGTTATTTTCTACTACAAAAAAATTAAACTTTTTCTAACAAACAAGCTCGTCACTGATTCAATATATTTGGGGACGAAATAACAAATTTGTCGCTAATGTAACTTCATTTAGCGACGAACCACTAAATCGTCTTTGTAAACTTTTAGTGACCCATTTATGGCTACGAAGAATTGACAAAAAAATTTGGTCAGAAAAGATATTTAGTGACGAAATAAAGCCTTTTAGTGACAAAAACATTTGTCGTTATAAATCAAATTTGTTGTATATATTAATCCAAAGGTCACTTTGGATGTTGTTTACTTGTCGTGATGCTTTGGTTAAGAAGGTTATTGCTGTCTAAATTTATGGATGGATTGTCAACTAAACTCTATCAAATTCCTCAATCAATATCAATAAAATGTTGTGACCGCTTAGACTCCGTTTATTTTGTTATAACAGAAAGTTGATTTCGTGTGAAAATTCACTAAATTTTAGTAAGTTGTTAAGTACTTTCCTTGGAAATCATTTTTTTTATGTAACTAATAAACATATCTAAACTAAAACATTAGATTTTGGTAAGCTAATTATAACCTTTCTCAATTGATAGTACAGGTCACACTACTATAATTCAGAATTCGATTGCATATGCTATAGATCTCGTGAATTTTTGGTAAGTAATTAATCCATTCTAATTCAGAATTTAATTTCTTTTTGCTATAAATTTCACCCATGAGAGCTAGTGAAATAAACATTACTTAGACCATTATATGCAAATTAAGCTTTATTATTCACAATGATTTCCCAAGATAAACAACTCCATTTCCTATTGATTCCCCTAATGTCCCAAAGCCATATAATACCTTTAACTGATTTTGCAAAATTACTAGCCCAACATGGAATTAATGTCTCTATTATTACCACACCCCTCAATGCACAAAGGTACAAATCATTAATCACTCAGTCTTTGAAATTTAACCTCAAAATCCAACTCATTCCCCTACATTTCCCATGTGAAGAACTTGGTTTGCCTAAGGGATGTGAAAATATGGATTCACTTCCTTCAACAAATTTATACAAAGAATTTTTTTTAGCTTGTGAAACACTAAAAAAACCACTAGAAAAAATAATTCAAAAATTGGAAACAAAACCAAGTTGTATTGTTTCAACAGGTGGTCTATCTTGGACACAAGAAATAGCTGACAAATTCAAGATTCCAAGGTATGTTTTCCAAACAATTTCTTGTTTTGCTCTCCTTTGTTCTCAAGAAATTGAAACTAGAAATTCCCAGCTACCTAATGAGACTACAACAAAGCAATCTGATGATGTTCAAAGTGTTGTACACCAAATTAAATGGTCACAAAATTTGGCACGAGGTACGTTGATTAATACGTTCGACGAATTGGAGCCATTTTATGTTGATGAATACAAAAAAATCATGAAAAATGTTTTTTGTGTTGGTCCAGTATCATTATGCAACAAAAAAGTGGATGAGATAATTAACAGAGGTAACGAGGGTTCTGTCGATAATGAGCATAGTTATTTGACTTGGCTTAATTCAATGAAGCCAAAATCTGTGGTTTATGTTTCATTTGGTAGCCTTTGTCACATGTCATTCTTGCAAATAAAAGAAATTGGATTAGGGTTGGAATCATCAAATGTGCCTTTTGTATGGATAATTAGAGGATTAAATGTTTCATCAGAAGTTAAGAAATGGCTAAGTGATGAAAATTTTGAAGAGAAGGTAAAAGGAAGAGGCATAATTATTAAAGGTTGGGCACCGCAACTTATGATCTTATCTCACCCGTCGGTCGGAGGATTCTTAACGCATTGTGGATGGAATTCGACTTTAGAAGGAATTACTTGTGGAGTACCAATGATTACTTTTCCAATGTTTGCTGATCAATTTTACAATGAGAAGTTAATAGTGGATGTTTTAAAGATTGGAATTCGAGTTGGGATTGAAGAGAAGAATAAAGTTTTGGTTAAGAAGGAGGAAGTCAAGAAAGCAATAAATCAACTCATGAATGAAGGATTTGAAAGTAAAGAAAGAAGAAAAAGAACAAAGGAATTAGCAATAATGTCAAAGGAGGCAATGCAAGAAAGTGGATCTTCTTATTTGAATATCAAGTTATTGATTCAAGATGTCATGCAACTAGTCAACAATTAGGGGGTCATAGCACTGCATTAGTTATTCAGAGTTTTATACCAGAAACTATGTTACTATTAGTTATGCAGAGATTATGTTAGTAATGTTGAAATCCGAGTTATATGTTGCAAACTTAATATGTATTGAATTTTATACCAGAATTATTTAACTTATACCTTAAATTTAACGGCCCTTTACAGTATTTTGAATATCGAATACTACTATTAAGCAAAAACAATTTTATGTTTGTGTCATTTTTCTTGAGCGGAGTCTTTTAAAGAGTATCGGTTTGAAATATAGCGCAGAGCAACACACTTGGGCCCAACGTTGGTAACTCATTCTCTTACATCCGGAGCCGGATTTACTGTTTAATTTTTCTAGTCGGTACACATAGATTTATACTAATTATATACAGTTTTACACATATTATATATATATTAAACATCCGTTGATTATTTTTTGTTTAAGCACGGGCGGTTATTTAGGTTCATTTTTCTTCATTTACATTTCTTTGGGTCCAGAAGCATTGGGCTAAACCTATTTTTCAAATTTGAGCCTTTTATTGGGCTTATTCAATGTGACTTGTCTTGTCTAAGTCTCGAATTTCAATCGGGTTTGTGTTTTCTCGGACGGATTTTTTTTTTTTTATAAAAGCTAAGTACTTTCTTTAACAAATGTTTTACCAAAGGAAATTATCATCAATAATTTTACAGTGTGTGTTTGATGTAAAGATAGATGGCATATGTTGAATTTTGGAAGGTGGAGAATGAAGCATGGGCTAGCTTTAAATTTTTGTTGATAGTTAATGGCTACATTTGTTATATAGTATAAAATGGTTAGGCACTTCTTATGAAAATTTTAATCTAATTTCAAAGTACAATGACTAGATGATAATATCTCGTTAATTATAGCTTTTCTAATGAAAAATTTAATCTAATTTAATTTAATGAATAGGCGAGGAGGATAATTAGACTAGATAGATGTATTTCAGAAGGATTTGCAAATTGGAATTTTTAACACAACTGATGTAGGACAAATATATTCTGATTTGTAACATAAGAGAAAATGTATTCATATATATTGATAAGATTAGGTTGTCTATATCATACCTTTTGGAGTGCGACCCTTCTTCGGACCCTGCGTGAATGCGAGATGTTTTGTGTATCGGGTTGGCCTTAATATACTAGCAACGTATTTGCAATAACAGCTACGCCTCAATTCGAAACAAATCAGGATCAACTAAGAAATTAAAATATATTAATCAGTAAATTTTCTTTAAACTTTTACTTTTTGAGCCTATGTTAGTGAATTGTGTTTACTCCATTTTAAGAAGCCATTCTTGTCCATCTATAAATGAAACATCCATGTAAAGTGCTGCCTCATTCTGCTTCAACTGCTTTGAATAGGGTACCCTAAATGTGTAGTTGGCTCCTGCTCCATAACACTCGTACTCCCCAAAGAATACTCTTCTGTAAAACGTATGCATTCAAATCACGAGATTGTTAGTTAATAAAAAGATAATTATGAACTGCGACTGTACAAAAATTTACAGATCTGTTGACTCTGATTGTGTTTGGTGCATGTGATGCAAAAGGGAAAAAAAAAATCCTCATTTTGGAGGAAACTTATTTTCCTTTACAATATATTATTTCAGCTCTTAAACAGGCTCGGGCCTAAACGGGCTAAGTGGTTCGGTCCAAACGGTCCCGATCCCGGGCCGGTCCCAAATTAAACGGGCTAAACGGTCTTTTTGTAGGGACCGATCCGGGACCGTTTGGTCTCGGACGAAACGGTCTCGGCCCGCGGGCTAAATGGGCTAAGTGGGCGCAACGAGTTTTTTTTTAAAAAATTAAATAGAAATTAGAGACAAAAGGATGTTAAAAATAATATCTAAGGCAATGCCTTGTAAATTTTGTTATAGAATTGTGACCTAAATTTTATTTAACATCCTAAATTTTAATATTCAATATTTAATTATGAATATATCTTATATATATATATACTCTTTAGTAGTAACATGAAAAGACCAAAGTATGGTACTTTTTAGCTAGTATAAATATCGGATGATGGAAGATCAAGTTTTAGCTCAACTCAGATTATAGTTTTAACTAATTTCCCACTCTTAGATATATTATCATCTCTATCGGCTAGCTACACCAGTAGCTATAATCTGAGTTGAACTAAAACTTGATCTTCCATCATCCCATATTTATACCAGCTAAAAAGTACCATACTTTGGTCCTTTCATGTTACAATAAAACAAGCAATAATAGTAATTATAGAAGAAAATAATAGCCCGTTTATTTATTCAATTTTTTAAATATCAACACCGCTTACGAAAAATTCTGCATATGCCCCTGCTCAGCGTGGCCTATAGGTCACGGGTTCGAGCCGTGAAAGCAGCCACTAATACTTGCATTAGGGTAAGCTATCCGTATCACATATCTTGGAATGCGGTCCTTTCCCGAATCCTACGTAAGTGTGGGATGCTTTATGCACCGGACTACCCTTTTTAGGGGAGGGGAGGGGAGGGGAGAGGGATGTGCATGCAAGAGGGATATGTAGAATTGGAAAAGTTAAGATCACCACTTACTGGTCTCTAGTAGGATCTCTCCAATCATTCCAGCCATCAGAGGAAACCACATCCGACATATAAGTTTTGGAGAAGACGACAGTAGCAAAAGCACCCCAAGCACGGCCAAGCCACACTTTTCCATTGCCACTAATACTGCAATTCACAAATGAAAATCCAGATTTCTCTGTCTCTGAATTCCTTCCTTGTGCTGTGATTGATCCTCCAACTCCACTTGTTCCTTCTTTTGCTATTGAACTTATTGTGCAATCCTAAAAAAATGTATCATGTCTACGTCAAAGTCTAATTAATAATAAATTAACCTTACTACAATCAAATCTCCCCATAACAATCATCCTATGTAACAACACTTTACTAGTCTAAGTTTTATTTGGAATCAATTTTTCATGTTATGTTATAATATATGTTCTATATAACAACACTTCACTATAACAGCTAGAATACATGGGGACAAATAAGGTTATTACAAAGAGGTTTTACTGTATAAGGAGATTACGAGCAACAAACGTAAAAATTTTACTATATTTGATACGTGTACATACTAGCAAATCTCACGCATGTGTGTTATTCTATTTAGAAATTATGTTTAGCCTGAAAATTTTCACCTTCATAATGTACCATAATAATCTTGTCAGTTGTGATGCAACATCTTATACTTAGCACAATACATTTACCTCATAGAGTGATCTACCATTTCCAAAAATAAAATCAATGGATCCTTGAATAAAGCATTCTTTAAAATAATGTCTTCCTCTATCATCATTAAGAGTATCTTGTGCTCCATAAAATCCACAACCATAAAATGCAGCTTGATCTCCTCCTACTCTTACAGCCACTGCCTGTGCTCCAACATCACCAGGCAAAGGACTAGGCGCTGTATTCTTTAAAAAAAAAAAAAATTAAGAACACTGATAGGAGTTAGCAAGGTTAGACCTCTATATAACAGTCATTCTTTATAACAGTACATTACTATCCTTTATAACATCACATCACTATAACGGCCAAGTTTTTTTTTGGAACCAACTATTCATGTTATGTTATATACAATATATGTTCTTTATAATATCAGAACATACTAGCTTGTTATAGTAGGTTTGTCTTGTATCAATTGGAGTCGTCGTGGTGCAGTACACCACTAGCCCAGATACCTCCATAGTAAAAAAATAATAATAATAATAATAAGAACATAGATCCAATCGACAACATCAAATCCAGAGATAATTCAAACTCTATAAAAGTTACATAACACCAAAAAAAAAAATCAATAAAGTTAAACATTGATTATTTTACCTAAAGAAAAAATATTGTACCTGGAAGCTGATATTATATGCTATGAAGTTTGAAGCATAAATAGCAACAGTAAAGCTATTGGCAGTTCCACCAGTAGAATTAGCAGTATCATTCCATGAGATAATAGTATTAAGGTAACCTTGGCCTTCTATTATCAAATTTGTCTTGTTAGGGTTTATCACCACTTTCTCCCTGCCAAAAATAAATAAGTTCTTAATAAACTTTATATGCTGAAAATTTTTAACTTGACTATACAATAGGTCAAATTATACAATTTCATTACACATCACAATATAACATTAACAGCAACAAATCCAGTGTAATCCTACAAGTGGGATCTGTGAAGGGTAGTGTGTATCGTAGACTTTACCCCTACTTTGATAAGGTAGGATGTTGTTTCCAATAGACTTTCAACTCAAGGAAAGATGAAACATCATAAGATAACATCGAGGGAAAAATTAAAGATGATTACTTGTATGTTCCCGAATCGAGTATTATAAGTGATCTAGTAGAGCTAAAATCAGGAGCAGCATCAATGGCCTTTTGTACACTGCTAAAATTTGCACAACCATTTAAATCAACAGTAATAACACGTGAAACGCCATACATAGATACAAGCTTGGAGTTCCATTTAGAATTGTCACATTTAGGTTTATGCCTCCTCCTTCTATGGTGGTGATGATGGTGGTGGCGACGAGCAATAATAATCTCTTTGAAAATATTAAAGAAATCCTCTAGGCCATTTTGCTTGAAAACCCTTAGTAGAATAGCAAGTCCAGAACTACTTTCTGTGCTAGTATTTTCAATAGCACTATTTGTGGAAGAGTGGTTGGAATAGAAGGAAAGTATGATGGAAAAGAGGGCAATGACTAAGGTGATAAACCAAAAGAGTATGGTCCTTCTAGTAGTACTCATAGTTAGATATTGTTTTGATTGATTTGTTTTTGTTTTGTGTTTCTATGGTAGATTTGAAGAGTTAATATAGTCAGAGGCGAATTCACAACTTAAATTTGATGAGTTGAACTTTAAAGTTCTTCTCGCAGAATATATTTTACGTTTGTTTGAAATTATGGGTTTAGATATCATAGTCTAATATTTTTTGAAATTTTAATACGAAATATAGTTGAACTCATTGAATATAAGTTGAATTCGCCTTTGTCTATATATATATATATATATATGCGTTAAATATAATTGAAAGGGTAGTCATTGTTTTTATTAGCGTAGGAGGTAAGAGAAGTGTGGAGAAAGGGTCTCTATTGACATACATTTTGTGGTGCAAAAGAAGGAAAAAAGTGGAGATTGGATGATTGACACGCCAAGAATTGTACTAAGGAGAAATCAGAAATGACATTTTAATTGCCCATTTTGGTGTGAGTTCAATGATGAATGTGTAATGCAAAGTGTCACTTATACGTGTTGTTTATTTGGAAAATTTAAATTTTTCAAAGGTAGAAGTTGGATTTTGGCCAGTGGAATAATGCCTGTGTTAATATGGCATCAAAAGAGAACATTTTCTTCAACCAAATAATGATACAATATATGCACAATAAAGAAAAATGAATTTTTTTTTAAACCAACGAATGAACATCTAGATCTGCTATTATTATGACATAATCAACCTTTGTTTTTTCTGCTTATTTGAGGTACTCATATTTACACAGCACAAATTGACGAATTGACACCCTTTAGCAAATTACACTAATAAGAAGTGTACCAAACATAGGAATTGGATATAAACAGACAGTGGGGGCATTTGCACAATTAGCCTTTTTTTAGGCAAGTATTTAATTTATGTCCTAGTTAGCCAAGTAGTCTAAATTTGTCTTCAAAAAGAAAAATTCATCCAACTACTTTAAAGACCAAATTTAGTTTACTGAACTGATACGAACAAAATTTAAAGAGTGACCTCAGAAACCTCCATAAAATGCAAATATTTCCTACGGTAAATGGAAACTAACCTCAAGACAACATATTTTTAACACATTTCAGTTGATAACCTCCATTATGGAAGAATCTGCCAAAAAACCTGATTTAAGTTGAAAAGGACACCCATTCTCTTCCTTTTTTTCATTTTTTCAAAATTTACTTGATTTCAATTAATTTCCATGCATCGTTAACGAAACTTATAGCATTTTTGGCCAAAGCTTTTTTTGGGCCAAAAGTGCTTTTTTGGCAAAAGTATTTTTTTTTCTAAAAATTGAGGTGTTTGGCAAGCTTTTAGAAGGAAAAAAAAAAGTGATTTTGAAGAGGAGCAAAAGCAGTTTTTGAGAAGCATAAAATAGTAGCATCTTTCCAAAAGCACTTTTCTAAGAAGCACTTTTGAGAAAAATACGCTTAGAAGCAGTTTTTAAAAGCTTGGCCAAATACTAATAACTGCTCAAAAGTATTTTTCAATTTAATTAGTCAAACACAAACTGCTTATCACCAAAAAATACTTCTCTTTCTCAAAATAAGCAGATTTTAGAAGCTTGGTCAAACAGGCTATTAGTATTATTTTGCATATCCGAACTCGTTTCTTGGTAAAATAGCAAAATACCAAATGCACCCTTAGTTTTCGGAAATGGAAAAGGGTCAAATTTATTCCCTACTATGCGAAAAGGATCAATTTTACTCTTCATTATATTTTTGTGTAAAAATACCTCTAATATTTGCTAAGTAGCTCAAATCTAATCTTCTTCCGTTAGGACGGTCCAAAATGAAAACTCAATCCCGTATGGCATAATATTTTAATGAGGCGGACATGAGGTGACATGTCAACTCCCCCCAACTCATTTTACCCCATCCCCTCCACTTCTTCTATACCTTGCCGTCCACCACCATGACCACCAATGTAACTTAAGAGACGGATTTTTGGTCACTACAACATTTGTCCGTTAAACCCTTCGGGTTGCCCAGTTAGTTTGGAGGGTGGTCATCCATATAGATGACTTGGAATCGGATCCCTCTTAATGTCTTCTGGATTGAGCATGTTGCACAGGGCTTGCCTAGTGCGGTTTACATTCCCTGTGTGGTTTGCAGACTATTACACAGGGGAGGTTTACCCAGTGCTCACCCGAAGGGCAGAGACTGTGACAGGGATTGTAGCGACTCCGGGTTTCCCCTATTACCAAAAACATTTGTCCGTTAGTGATGATTTTTTGGTTCTTCCGCCTAATGTAGCCGAATGACCCTTCTTATATGATTTAAAATCTATCAAGTGAAACATCAACTCATTTCATTCTTCCATCTTAAAAAAGAATTCTAAAAACATAAAAAAGAATGATCAAGTAAAACTTGCTCGTAATTAAAGAAAAAAGGGGGAATATATATCTAGACGACAGAATATTTTGACCCCAATTTTCATTCATATATTTAAATGGTATACATTTCCCTCTTACGTGATTCTCTTGCAGTGGCTCGATCAATACCAGTACAATATTACAGCTGATTATTATCTTATCTTAAGTAAAATTGAAATTGAATTTTAGAACTTTCACATCAGACTAGCATCTCTTATTTGTATTGGAACTTTATAAATATCTTAATATAAGGTCTCGAGTTCCTTCTGTATCATCTGAGAAAATAGTGAATTGTTGTTGTATGTAGATAGCGAGCAATTTAGTAACTTGAACATTTTCAAATGCAAAGAATTAAAATGGTGGCGGCCAAATAACATGAATCTAACTTTAAAACATGTAACCAGCTTTGACTTTAAGCAATAAGAACCTTCTTTACACAATATTTTACCCTCTAAAGTTCATAATTTGTAAATTTAAATTCATCTTGTTTGATCAAATAAAATTCTAATATACATGTGATCAGAAATCGCTCTACAAAATGTGATCAGAAATCGCTCTACAAAATGGGTTAATAAATGGAAAATCCTCTTTGGCGACCTACTCATCTGGTGCATCAGTTTCAGTTCCCCCCTGCCGAATGATTCGACATTTAGGAACCATTTTTTCCAGCATAGATGTTCCTTTGAAGGTAATCATCTGCCAACAGGTTTTTTTGTAGTTGACAAGCTACAAAAAGAAAAAAGGGAACCCGAACTAATTAGAACTCCCAAAAATAAAATAAATTAATTAAAAAAACAACAACAATAACTACAACAACAAACGTGCTATTTGTACATCATGCCCCTTTACAATTTTAAAATTAAGAAAATGTCCTTTTTAGATCTACCAATCTGACAACCGAAGCGAAAATACAAAAATTAATACTAAGTAATGCAATCAGAAAACCGAAACAAAGGCAGCAACAAGTAATAACAGAAATCTAGGGATAAGAAAATACACGAAGGACCAATTAAAAAAGAGGACCAAAAATAGATGCATCAGAGGCTGGGTCACATGCAAAATATACCTGGTCTGGTGGTATCTCTTTGAATCCGAATTTCGTCGTCCATATTGACATTGCTTCCACAGCAGAAGGTAGTACAAATCTTCGTACATTTAAAAATGCAAGCAATTTTTCTATGCAGGAGAGCAGCAACTGAAAGTAACCCTGTAAACATTCAAAGCATACATTCAAAAACTTGGACATTTCAAGAACGATAGCAGAAGACATCACCCATAAGATGTATTTACTATCTCTAATTACTTGACAGGCCCTAACACGGAATAAGCAAGTATCATGATTCATGAGAAGCATCATCAAAATTCACAAACTAGTCAACATGAAGATGCTAGATCATTATGTTCCCAATCAATGTTCTCCACCGTGGCAAAAATATGGATTGGGGTAGAGTGGGTGTTAAGTGACACCAAGTTTGGGTCTAAATGAATCTTAGTTTACCAAATTAGACTCCATCACGACCATCTTGAAGAGAAAAGACCTGATCAGTGAAGACTAATATAAAACTAAAATGCTGCCGACCACCCTGTGGCCTGTAGTCCAGCAGAAGTCAAACTTCTGCAGTTGGCCAGTAAATTTTAGAGGCTGTTGTGCATCTTCCTCCAGTTTTTGAACAAATTCTTCATATCTACATCCACTAGGAGTATTAAGATCAAGCAGGAAAATTGTCTAAAAGAAATGATCCAGTCAGTCAACCAACCATTTTTGATACATTAAGCAACTCCTGATCTTGAAAGCCTAAATCCGTATAAATAAGGCAATACATTCAAATTTGGGCCTTCCGGTAATGCAACTATCTGTAACCCAATCAAATACTGAATGGACTTTAAGGAGTATTTGAAAAATGTAAAGCAGTGAAAGTTGAGAGAAAGTCAATTTGATAGAAAATAAGTGGGGCCTTTTTTAGCGAACAGTTTCAAAGCTTTACCTTGCCTTGGCTATCAATACGTGTTGCCACTAGAGGAAGCTCTGCCATATCCGGACCAAAAATACGGAGGATCCCAGCTGATACTACTATTGAGCTGCAACAATAACCAAATAGCATGTTAAGTTGTGTAATCAAAATGTGCTTAAACAAGTTTCAAATGAAACAAACAGCAACACTTCTCTTACTTTACAGTCAATATAGCACAGTACATGCCCCCAAAGTCTTGGCCCCTAATATTCCTTCTGCAAAGAAGAACAAATATCTTAGATAACAGCAATGGCGAAATAAATGAAAATCCACTTCACCCTGCATAACAACCAAAAAAAGCTTACCCATAGACCATAGATGGAATGAAATCACGTCCAGTTGCCGAATCAACAATAGGATCAAAGCAATCCTGAAAAGTCAATGGTTATGCTACTGATGCTAACTTTTTCCACCCATTTCTCATTAAAAAAAAATACAATCTACAAATAGTTGAAAAACACCTTTTAGGAAACAGAGCGAATCTGGAATAAACTAACCACAAATAATTGCAAAAATAAATATCATAAACCTCTATGTGTGCATCCAAAAAAAAACGACGAAGTAACATCGAGAGAATATTAAATCATCTTGGACTACAAAAACGGCAGGTAAAATTCCAAGAATGAAAGTTTACCA